TAAACACTTACTTATAGATGGCACATATTGGACAACGAAAAGTCAACCTGAAAAACCAAAAGATACTCAACAATACTTCTATCAACCAAAACCAGCGGATGTGGAGATGACATCTTATGTTTTACTCACTTATATGCTCCGAGATGATACTGTAAGTGCCGTTCCAGTGGTACGATGGTTAAGTTCACAACGGAATGCACTCGGTGGTTTTAGCAGTACTCAGGTAAAAGTTGTAGACTTGCATTTTTTTTACATAAATGTAATTTTGTTTTTATTATTAATTTGCTAAATTTGTTAAATTTTAGGATACAGTAATGGCTTTGCAAGCGTTAGCCGCTTATGCAGGCAAAGCATACTCTCCATCCCTTAATATCAGTTTAACTATGAAAAGTGGTGCTGATGAACAAAACTTTGAAATTACACATGAAAATTCAATTGTATTACAAGGTTATCAGGTTGGTTAATAGTTTTTGTTAAAATGTTGCTAAATATACTGAAATTAACGGAAAGTAATTAGTGATAATCATTTTTATGTGCAAATTTTTGTTGTTGAACATTAAATGTTAAAGTTTATTGAATAAAACTGTATAAAATGGAAGTAATAAGCAACTGACCCTTAAAGCTGTAAGTATCAAAAATGCTCACTTCCTAAGCTTAATTTAAAGATAATTAGTAATTCTTGTTGTAATTAACAGTGCTTTAAATTAGTATGTGGTTGTAACTGATAACAATTACTGATAATTTTTTTAAACACTAATTAACACTATATATTTGACTAATTCAGTTCTAGTAAGATTAAATACTAGTAGTACTAGTTAGATTTTATGTAATAATATGAAATTTTATAATGCTTTTATTCAACATTTTAGCTCAAAAATTTCGATGACAAATTAGAATTACAAGCTAAAGGCAATGGTATTGCTTTTGCGCAGTTACAGTACTCATACCATCGTGTTTCTACCAAAGATAATTTACCTTTTTATTGTACAAAAGAAGTTCGTGAACATCGTAATGGTAATCGACTACAGCTTGACTTATGTTGCAAGTGTGTTCTTATTTTTTGCAACAAATTACTGACTTGTTAGTTATTTGATATTAAGATTCATAAATTTGAAATAATAAATTGAAGCTTTTGAAATTATGAATGAAAAGTTACTGAAATCAGTTGCAGTAATCAGTAATAATAATTGCTATGTTTATTGACTACGGTAATAATAAAATAAAAACAAGTTGAAAATTGTTAAATACTAAATATTAAAGCCTACAATTTGCATATCATTTTAGTAATATATTATATTATGAAAATAAACTGTATGTGCAAGTCAAAAAAATACACTTTGTTTAATGGCAAATAATATTTACGTCTAAAATTATGTCTTTACAATAGACTTTGTAATTATAAGCAATTCAACAATGACAGTAATGAGCATTTTTGTAGTTATAATCATTCTTTATAATAATATTATTGATTGTGGTTTTTTTCATTATATTAAATTATTATTGACTATCTGCACTATACTTTATCAGTTATTTAGAATACTTCACTAGTATTAATTAAATTTTTGCAACAATAATTAATGAATGGTTTCCTTTGTTTATTACATTAAGCAAACTTTACAATGACAGTAATTGTCATTTAGCACTTTGTACAGTATCAGTGATTCTTATCTATGATGAGTTATGGTTTCATTTTAGTTACACAAAACCTGGTGCACGTTCTAATATGGCAGTAGCAGAAGTAGATGCTTTATCAGGATTTCGGTTTGACAGCGAACAGTTGGACAATCTCCAAGTAATTAGCGACTTGCAGAGAGCTGAATTAGACAGGGATGACACTAGAATAAATTTATACTTCAATCCTGTATGATCATTGTTTTTTTTTAAATTAAAACTCTTGCTTACCGAATGAATTAATCCTTTTCTTATTTAAACTTTATTGAATTTTTATTGATTGCTTTGTTTTAATAATAAAATATACGGAGTATGAATTGATTATAGATAGAAATTTAAAATTATTTTCAATTAAGTTTATTAAATTTTGTAGTAACTGTAATTTGTGAAATTTTTACTTATTCGTAAGTTTTTTACTTGTAAAATTTCTTAGCAGTTCTAATTTTTTAATATTTGTTCTTATTTTTGAATGATTTATTCGAGAATGATTGCGAGAAACTTCAATTATACAAAGTTAGAATGATGAATATTTTGATATCTATACTACTTGTAATTATGATGGCTTTTTTCATCATAATAATAAACGGTATTAAGATCAATCATTAATTTATCAGTCTTGAAAATAACTTGATCTTGCAGATCGGTTCGTCTCCTGTTTGCTTGTCACTGTACAGTGATATGGTTTATCAGATTTCAGAACAGAAACCTGCACAAGTTGTACTTTTTGATTATTATGACCCTGAGCAGCAGGTAAACATCTATTTGTTAATTGTTTTACTTCAGTTAATTAACTTTCCATAATTTCAAGTTTCAGTATTCATATTTGCTACCCTTTGTACTGAATTCATACAGTTAATAGTGTACAAATATTTTTACACTTTTTAGGTTTAATCCTTAGATTCAGATATCTAAGTATTTGAAGTGTAAGCTTAACGAATTAAAAATTTTTAAAACAATTCTCAGAATCCAGCTCATTCACTACAATTAAAAAAACATTTGAATCAAAAAGCATTACAAGAATCAAAATAAGAAAAGTTTTCTAATAAGTTCTCTTATCAATGATTAAAAGTTTGATAAATTTGAAAAATTTGTAGAAAATCTTTAAAAAATGATAGCCTGTTAAAATGAACTGAAACTGTAATAATTTACATGAAATCGGAAATTTTATTTTGTAGCAAAATTAATTATTACAGATAAAAACATCTTACTTAACTAAACAACAGCGATCACTGCAAGATGCATGTTCAGAGTGCTGGCCATCACCGGACATGACTGAAAAAAGTTCAGGTATATTAGCCATGCAGGCACAAGCCAGTCTAATATTGCCCTCAATACATTTATTGTATATTGTTGTTTGTTTTGCTTTACTATTATTACATTCAATCTAACATAATTTACATTGGGTTCTTTGCATGAATTCACTTTAATTTATTTATTTCTTTAATTGAATTTCAAATGAAGCATGTTTGAATGTGTATCATTAATGCTTATATTTTCTGCAAAAATGAAATGAATCCGTTAAGAATATA